AATTCTGAATTTATCAGACTTGAATACCCTGATTCTACAAAAAAAAAGCCACCCTACTTGGAACAGCTTATATCCTCCTCCGAGGCTACCTGAACAGTTCCTAGGTCCTTGGTTAGGACTCGAGCTGTTGAGCTACCAACCAGCCCCAAAGGCTCTGAATCTCACCAAAGATTAACCAACATCATCATCCATCTCAGGAGCCTTTCTCTCCTGGCTCTAACTTTTGAGCCGTCCTACCCGTCCCTGGGCAGGGGAATTCCCAAGGAAGCGGACTTTCCCCGCTGGGGAAACCGGCACTCAAACGGAAAGAAAAACAGATTGACAAAATAGAAAAGTGACATTTGTAAATTTTGCCACCCCAATCCGAACCTTCTTAGGAGCTGCTCCTTCACCAGAGGCACCTCGGTGCACGCTTTCGTTCCTCGACTGCTCCACGTGATTTCCCACACTTCTGCTTTTCGCACACCCAGGGAAGTGAGGTTGTCGGCACACACACACACACACATCCAGGCTGCCTCCCAAAGGGAGGGAGAGGCCCTGGGCAGGCAGCTGGCAGCCGGGAGGGAAGAGAGGGGTGGCACCCTGTGGCCTGCCAGCCCCATTTACCCCAAAAAATAAAAATTGTATTTTTATTCCAATAAAACAAGTTTGGGAAAGTTGAGCAGCCTCACCTGATGTCACCACAGATGGGGGGGGGGGGCTTTATAAAGTGCCAGGTAGCAGCGATTTTTGAGGAGGCGGAAAAGGAAAACTTTCCAAGAAAGGTTTTGGGGCTGTGAGGAATAGGAATAGAATAAGGAATAGGATAGGATAGAATTCCTGATTGGCCAAGTGTGATTGGACACACAAGGAATTTTTGTCTTGGTGCATGTGCCCTCGGTGTACATAAAGAAAAAAATAAAGTATATTCGTCCAGAATCATAAGAAAAAAAGAGAGGTAAGAAAAATGGAAGAGAATTAGGAGAGAAATAGAGAATAGAATATGATACAATAGAACAGAGGAAGAAGGGGAATAGAATAGAAATCCGTAAGGGATCTTAGAGGTCTTCTAGTCCAGCCCCCTGCTCAAAGATGAGAACCTATACCATTTCAGATAAGGAGGGGGACAAATTTCCTTTTTTTACAAGAAAGGAGAGTTAATTATTCTTCTGAGCTTAGTTTTATGCTTGGTAGCTGCTACTAAGGAATTCTGGGAGTTGAAGTACACCCAGTTTAAAAGATGCTGGCTGGGGGATTCTGGGAGCTGAAGTCCTCCCATCTTAAAGCATGGTTGCTGGGGGATTCTGGGAGCTGAAGTCCTCCCATCTTAAAGAATGCTGGCTGGGGGATTCTGGGAATTGAAGTCCACCCATCTTAAAGCATGGTTGCTGTGGGATTCTGGGAGCTGAAGTCCTACCATCTTAAAGAATGCTGACTGGGGGATTCTGGGAGTTGAAGTCCACAGTCCATCCACCTTGAAGGATGCTAGCTGGGGGATTCTGGGAGTCATTGGAAGTCCACCCCTCGTAAAGTTGCCAATGTTGAGAAACACTGGTTTAAGCCACCCATTGATAACTAGGCAATGCCTTTGGGCCACCATTTTGTGAGTGCGCCTCCACATTCCATCACGCTTCCCAGTTATGTTCAAAGCTGCAGCAAAATGGATAACTGGAGCTTCTCCGATTAGGCGCGGGTTGACTTGTTTTCTTTAAATGCAGATGAAAAAAAAAGAGATTAAAAAGTACAGTAATTCCCGATACGAAAGGGCTTGGAAGCATTTTATGAAACGAAGATCAGAATCTTCAAGGGGAAAAAAACACACTTTTTTCTCATTTTTCCATGCACTGGGAGGGACGTGTGGTTTTGTGTGCTACCTATATTTTTCGCACACGCAGATAAAACTTCGATCTCTTGCGTAGCCTGGTTCCCAACAATTGGCCAAGCACCTGAAATTTGATTACCTGACCACTGGAGTGGGTGGGTGGGAGAGAATCCTGCAACAGTCGTTAAGTGTGGAGGCTGGTCCTAAGTCACCTTTTTCAGAGCCCTCGTAACTTCAAACTGTCACTAAACGAATGGCTGCCAGTCCAGAATCCACCTGTCATTTTATCAATTATTAGACTGGTAGATCTTTATGGAAATGTGGCTGGTTTCATATTATGATGAAAAAGCAAAAAAGTGGTGATTTAATGTTGATGCTTAATTTTGCCTCAACAGAGTTGGAAGTCAATGCTTCTTTTTCTTTCTTTTTTTCTTTCTTTCTTTCTTTCTTTCTTTCTTTCTTTCTTTCTTTCTTTTTCTTTCTTTCTTTTTCTTTCTTTCTTTCCTTTCTTTCTCTTATCTTTCCTTCCTTCTCTTCCTTCTTTCCTAGCCCTGATTTTCTGTTTTATATTTCACAATACTTTATAACTCAATATTTTTTCTTTCTCTCTTTCTTTTCTTTCTTTCTCTCTCTCTCTTTCTGTCTTTCTTTCTTTCCTTTCCTTTCTTTCTTTCTCTCTTATCTTACCTCCCTTCTCTTCCTTCTTTCCCGGCTGCTTTTCTATTTTGTATTTCACCAGACTTTCTAGCTCAAATAAAAATGTTCAACTGAGAATGACCTGTAATTAAAAAAAACAAAAACCAAAACCCGGAATACAGAGAAGAGTTAAACCTTTGGTGCTTTCATTTTTAAATTTCGGTGCTTTATTTGAAATTTCTTCCAGAGGGAGATTTCTTCCACCCTTTATACCGGTTTCCCTTCTCTCTTTCGGGGTGCCAGGGAGAAGCACACTTAAAAATGCAGAAATCACCCCCTCCAAAAAAAACCAACTTCAGGAGAACTGTCTGCTATCCGGTATCACGTGGAAGAAGGGAAAAAAAAAAAACCCAGCTCGTTCTTGGCTAAATCTTTCCATTTTATTTTATTTTTTGCAGCCTCCGTCCGAACAGGCTTTGTGTGTGTGTGTGTGTGTGTGTGTGTGTGTGTGTGTGTGTGTGTAGAAATTGCCTGTTGCAACAGGATCTCCTTCCGTTTCCAGGAAAAAAAAGTCCAGGATTTCGGAGGGGGGTGGCTGAAGGCCCCCCCACCCCCCGAGCCGCCACCACACGGGATCCGCCGCTAAGCCTTATGGACGGAATATTTGCCTTTTTGGAGCTGGGAAACGTAGATCTTGGTCTTGCTGGCGTCTTCCCGCCGCAGCCAGACTTCCCCGGTGCTGATGGCGGTGATGACGGCCCTAGAAATCCAAGACACAATTGGGGGACAGGAGGAAGGGACGAGAAGAGCGGGTGGAGGGCTCAGTATAGGGTCAATTAAGACCGCCGGAGAGCCAGCTTCTCCCATCAATTCCACAGAATTCAGCATTCGGTGGAGGGAGTCCTCGACTTACGACCGCAACCGAGCCCCAAATTTCTGCCGCTAAGCAAGACGGTCGTGAAGGGAGCTTCGCGCCCTCCCCCGCTCCCCGTTTTGCGACCTGTCTTGCCACCGTTGTTAAAGGGGTTCACAGAAGTTGTTAAATGAGTAGTAATACGTTAAGTGAATCCGACTTCTCTCCAAACCCCGCCCCCCCATTCACTTTGCTTGTAGAGAAAGTTGCCAAAAGGGGTGGGGTGACCTCGGGACGAGGCAGCCGTCGTAAGTATGAGTCGGCTGCCAAATGCCTGGATTTTGATCAAGGGGGGGGGTGTTGGCGACGGTTGTTAAGCGTGAAAAACGGCTCTCGGTCCCTTTTTTTCCCGGTGCCGTCGTAACTTTGAATGGTGACTAAACGGAGTGGTGTAAGTGGAGGACAAACCTGTAGAGGAGGATGGGAAGGAAAAGAAGAGAGGGAGGGTGGATAGGGGAAAGAGACAGGAGGGAGGAAGGAGGGAAGGAAGGAAGGAAAGGAGGGTGGGAGGAAGGAAGGAAGGAAGGAAGGAAGGAAGGAAGGAAGGAAGGAAGGAAGGAAGGAAGGAAGGAAGGAAAGGAGGGTGGGAGGAAGGAAATGGAGATGGGAATGGGAGAGAGGGAAGGAAGGAAGGAAAGGAGGGAGGCAAGGAAGGAAGGAAAGGAGGGAGGGAAGGGAGGGAGGAAGGGAAGGAGAAGGGAAGGAAGGAGAGAAGGAAGGAAGGAGATGAGGGAGGGAGGGAAGTAAGGAAAGGAGGGTGGGTGGGAGGGAGGAAAGAGATGGGAATGGGAATGGGAGAGAGGGGAGGAAGGGAGGGAAGGAAAGACGGGAGGGAAGGGAGGAAGGAAAGGAGAGAGGGAAGGAAAGGAGGGAGGGAGAAAGGAAAGGAGGGTGGGAGGGAGGGTGGGAGGAAGGAAGGAAGGTGGAAGAGGTAGAGGGCCGAGCCCCACCAGGCTGAGCTGGCTGCCCTCCCCGCTCTTGGCAACTCACTGGACGGGCGCCTCCTCTCCCACTTGCAGGAAGATGCTCTCCCCTTTGACGTAGATCTCGCCCTCGTAGTGCAGGTGGCCCTCCTCGCAGTGGGCGGCGAAGAGGGGCGGCGAAGAGAGCTTCTCAGCCTTCAGCGGGCCTGGAGGAAGGAGAGGAGGGGGCAAAGTGGGGGTGGCGGGGAAATCAGGGCTGTTCGGGGTAGGAGAAGGGATGCAGTGGTCTGTGGGAATGGCCT